TCTCATTTGACAAAAATTCTTTTGATAAGCTGGCATAGCGGGTGCACTGTAAAAAGCTTTTTTAGCTTTAGTCATCAAAATTTAAAGACAAAACCCATAGAGAGGAGTAGGTTATCCCTACCTCAAATTCGGAGTCCCAAAGGAGAAGACGACAAAACCCAACGTGCTCCAAAACCCGAGATTTTCAGATTAAAATGATGCCCTCGACGATCAACAACTTTTTTATAAAGGCCAAAGGTGAGTAAATCACTCCTACTAGATCAAAACCTAGAGAGAAGGTAGAGTCTAGAGTGAGAGGCTCAACAATGGTGATTTTGGAAAAGTAAGAGAGAGAAGAGAAAGTAAAAAGTGATTTGAAAAGTCACAATTTCAGGACTTAAACCCAGTCGTCCGCTCGAGCGTAAAACACCCCTCTCGAGCATCACTCACAGACTCCCGCTCGAGCGTCCAAACTTACGCTCGAGCGCCGGATGCACTCTCCCAGCACTTTTGCCGAACCAGGCCTCCGCTCGAGCTCCCAACCCTACGCTCGAGCGGCACTCAGACAACCCCGCTCGAGCGGCCAATACCACGCTCGAGCGTACAACGTCATGTTCTTGATCATTACTAGTAATAGTATCAAAAGATCTTTTATTATTACTAGTCTCTTGTCCAGTTTTATTTGGAAACATATGTTCAAAGAAAGATGCATTCTGAGATTCAATAATAGTATTTACATGAATTTCAGAATGTTCTAATTTATTAATCAAAAACCGATATGCACTACTATTCTTGGCATAACCAATGAAAATGCAATCAATGGTTTTAGGACCTATCTTACTCTTTTTAGGACTAGGAATAGCTACTTTAGCCAAACACCCCCACACTTTTAAGTATTTGTAGGATGGTACTCTCCCATGCCACAATTCATAAGGAGTTTGATCTATTTTCTTTCGGGGTACTTTATTAAGTATATAATTAGTAGAAAGTATTGCTTCCCCCCACAAGTTCTGCAGTAATCCAGAACTTATTAACATGGTATTCATCATTTCTTTTAAAGTCCTATTTTTCCTTTTACTAATTCCATTTTGTTGAAGTGAGTAAGGAGCAGTGGTTTGATGAATTATTCAATGTTCTTTACAAAACTCACCAAAAGGTGATTTATATTCATCACCTCTATCACTTTGTAATTTTTTTATTTTCTTACCAAGTTGATTTTCAATTTCATTCTTATATTGAATGAAAGTTTCTAAAGTTTCATCCTTGGTTCGAATTAAATAAACATAACTATATCTAGTATAGTCATCTATAAAAGTGATAAAATACTTTTTCCCACCTCCTGTTTGAATTGATTTAAAATAACAAATCTCACTATGAATTAATTCAAGTGGTTCCGTACTTTTTTCAATTGAATGGAAAGGAGTTTTGAATAATTTTTCCTCAACGCAAATTTCACATTTATGATTTGAATCAATGTCAAATTTAGGTAAACATTCCATATTAATTAATCTATGCAAAGATCCATAATTAACATGTCCAAGTCTACCATGCCATAAATTTGAAGACTCAAGCAAGTAAGAAGAAGATGTATTTTTATTAATAACTGACGGTATAATGGTCATTACATTCATCTTGAAAAGGCCATCGGATATGTAACATTTTCCTACATACATCCCATTCTTAGTAAGTACAAATTTATCACTCTCAAACACTAACCTAAACCCATTCTTACTCAACAAAGATCCGGAAACAAGATTCTTGTGAATGTCCGGCACATGCAGCACATTGTTGAGAGTAAGTTCCTTTCCAGATGTCATCTTGAGAACATTCTTCCCTTGTCTTTCAACTTTAGAAGTTGAGGAGTTGCCCATAAAAAGTTGTTCACCGTTGCCCACTGTAGAATAAGATATGAACATCTTTTTGTAGGCACAAATGTGGCGAGTAGCACCAATGTCCACCTACTATTCTTTAGGATTTCCAACAAGATTTGCCTCAGAAACAACTGCAGAAAGATTGATGTCATCTACACCATTGGAAATATTATCCACTTCGGTCATATGGGCTTGAGCAGGCTTCCTACTTGTTCTTCTTTTGCTTTTGCCTTTGCTACGGTAATCTTTGGCCCGATGTCCCTCTTTGTCACAGATGTAACATTTGCCATTAAACTTGTACTTTTAGTTTCCCCTTCTTTTGGAGCCTTGTGATGAACTTTCTTCAGAAGACTTCCGTTTCTTGGTTTTTGAAGCATGTTCCACCACATTTGCCTTTGACTCCATTGGATGCTTACCAGCCTGCTTCTCTGAATTGTGGTTGTCCTCCTCAATCCTCAAACGCACAATCAATTCTTCCAAAGACATTTCTTTGTGCTTGTGTTTGAAGTAGCTCTTGAATTCCTTCCAGCCTTGTGGTAATTTCTCAATTAAGGCTACAACTTGGAAGGATTCACTGAGAGACGTGCCTTCTGCATGAATGTCATGCAGAATAAGTTGGAGATCTTGAACTTGGCTGATCACAGTCATAGAATCGACTATCACAAAGTCCAGGAATTTGCCAACCACAAATTTCTTTGAGCCTTCATCTTCCATTTTGTACTTTTTCTCCAAAGACTTCCAAAGTTCCTTTGCTGTCTTGATAGAACTGTAGACGTTGTATAATGTGTTGTCAAGTCCACTCAAGATGTAGTTCCGACAAAGGAAATCAGCATGTTTCCAGGCATCGACCGCAGTAACCATTTGTCGGTCGGTTTCATCATCTTTCAAAATAGGAGCATCCTTACGGAGAAAACAAGCTAGGTTCAGAGTTGTAAGATAGAACAACATTTTCTGTTGCCATCTTTTAAAATTAGTTCTTGAGAACTTCTCTGGCTTCTCACCGTGATTTACCGGTACTGTCACAACAGAAGAGGGGTTTGGCGCAATTGCAGCCACCACACTAGTACTTGTTTGGGCATTAGTTTCAGTAGCCATGAATTCTAAATTCTAAAATAAAATTATAATTAGAATTTATACTACACAGAAAAATAATCCAAATTCACAGAATTAAATTCTGTAAAAATAAAAGAAACAAGAATATAACTTTTATTTTCCAATTAATTTGGAAATAAAATAAAATTTTATTTAACCAAATTAATTCCACACAAAAAATTAAATTTCTGTAACACTTCAATAATTAAAAAATTAAAACATAATTTTTTAATTAATGAACACTCAGAAATAAATTAAGAAAACCAAAATTAATTTTTGACAAAATTCCACAAATAAATATTCTGAATTGTTAATGACATTAGTATATTGCTACTAGTTGTCAAAGAAAATAAACAGTATATTACTACTATTTGTTTTCCAACCAGAATATTATTTTGTAAAATTACGGAAAATAATTTCTATAAGAAGAAGAAAGAAGAAAGTAACTAAACGAAAAATTGTATAAACAGAATAATTCGAATATGTCTTAAGAATTTTGAAACAATCTTCTGTGTACAATAAATTGAAACAAAAACAAACAAATAAAATAAATAACGTACCAAATTTATTTTATTGAACCGAATGAATAATTAAAGAACAAGTCGAGTGTGTGACACTCTGTCCTTAAGACAGATTCACCCCGCTACAGGGCTTACGGTTAAGTGGCGTGTATCTTCCAAGATACAATGATCTTCACAAATTTGTCTGGTGAACTAGAACATTGTGTTCTATACTGTCTAAATTTTTTCTAAAATTAATATGAAGATTATATCATGCAAGAGAGAAAAACTAGAAGGAAATAATGAATTTTTGGAATGGAAAAATGCTGGAACAAAACTGGTTTATATAGACCCGAACAAGTGGAAAATTCGAACTGAACATGTGGGTTTTTGAATTCAACAGGTACTGTTTAAATTTCAACAGATCTGTTGGGCAGTTTGATCTGTTTGAATTGTACAGATTCAAATTTGTTAACTACAACAGATTTTGGCAGTTATAAAACTGAAAAATAGTTTGAATCTGTTTAGGAAATTCGAACAGAAGTTGGTATAATATGGATAGAAAATAAATTCAAATTTGAATTAAATTAAATTTTTTCGCAAGTATTTTTTGAAAAATTCAAATGAATTTTGTCCAAAAAATTAATATAAAAACCGACTCGACCCACACCTGCGCCCAGTCTGGCTGGTGGCGGCTGCGCGCGTGTGTGGTGGTTTGAGCCAAAGTTCCATTTGTCCATAACTACTCCCTTCTACAAGCTTGGGGTACCCCTGGGGCTCCACCCAAGTGTTGTCACCTAGAACTTATATACACACATAAGTTCTCTTCAAGTTTCAATGTGAGACAAGTCTTTCAAGGAAACCCACATTTAATTCTTTAAATGTTCAATTCCACGAACCAAAAAACGACGTCAACTTCCCATTCACTCATAAATGGTTTTGACGAACCATCTTCACCGTGTGATTTACCCTACAACAAGGAACACATCACCTCTCCGGACCCACCCCATAAGACATTTGGGGCTCACTCAATTTTGGGCTCCAAGTTGGCCCAAAATAAGCCTTATAAAAACCAATTTTCCAACATCTTATGGTCTATGAAGCATGGACACTTCAAAATAGATGTCGTAGCGTTGTCAGACATAGGGACATGCCGGGGACACATACGGGACACACTAAAAGGTGTGTCCCCTTAATTTTATTACTCTTTTTTGGAAGGAACAAGGAAGGGACACAACAGGGATACAAAAGGGACACGCATGCATGTTCAAATATAGATAATCTCTTAATTTGTTTAAATATAGTGGTTTACATATAATATTGAATTGATGTTAGTTTTTATTAATTTCGATTATTTGGTAACATAATATGAATTTACATAGCAAATATATATATAATAAAAATAATTATAATTTGCTGTGTCCCTCAATGTGTCTCCATTTTTTTTGAAATCACCGTATCCGTATCTATGTTTGTGCTTCATACATAGCTTATGGTTTTTTTTTTTTAATCAATCTTTATAAATAGCAAGTGATCATAAAGCCACCATGCAGAATAGAGGACTCGAGAGTAATTCTAATTAGTGATTGAAGACATGGGATCATCTTGTGCTTTATTCACTCTCTTCTCATTGGTCCTGGTGATGATAAGCAGTCCCTAGGGCAAAGTAGTACATAATATATAGGATGGACCAAAGGGACGCTTGGAAGCAACCAACTTTCTAGGTTTCGAAAACCACCCTTATTGTATTAGTATTATTAAAAATATTTTTCAATTATATAAGTCCATCCCTGAGATTAGAATCATGTGTCCGCGTACAAATCCATTATAGAATTTCCCAATTTTAAAACTGAAATTTTAAAAACTATAAAATTTCACAGTATGAAAAGTTTGAAATTTCACTTTTTGGGTTTGAAGGGCTGGTTTTGTTGTATAATTGTGCATTAATCTGAATATAAACCTCCAAACCCCAAGGGGTTTAAGAACTATTAACACTACATAATCTTATATATATTAGCCCCTTTGAAGTCTAAATAACTTTAACTTGGCATCCTAAACTTCATAAAGATCTCATTAGGCCTGATACAATTTTGAGTATTTATAAAAGAAATTAGCATTTTGATCACAAAATTCAAATAAGTTGTAACTCTTTGTGTATGTCTTTATTGAGCAGCTTGTTGCTAGCAGTGTTGATGCAAGAACAGACCAAGGAGAATACTGGCAAGTAATCATGAAAGATTAGCCCATGCCGGAAGCAATTGAAGGCCTTATCATCCACGGGGGCTCGGTGTCGTCACCTCTCTCTGACAAGAAAACTGACTGTCACACGACAACAGAATCAGCAGCAAACAACAATCAACTTGTCAATGATTCTGCAGAGAAGAAGGCTTTCGTGAAAGACTTTGAGCCAAGGCTAAGCCACGACGATGAAGTTGATCTGAAAGGCAAGTCATTTGTTAAAGATTTTGAGCCAAGGCCAGATCTTAGTACTTATGAACATTGAAGGACAATCACAAGCATGCATAGGAACGTGGAAGTGGATTATGGAGATATATCTATATATGTGGTTGAATCTAAATAATAAGAAGCAAATGTTGTATGTTTGCGTGGTGTACTAGTTTGTAGTTGTAGTTTGAAGTGAGTGATTATGTTTAATCACTCAAAATAAGAAAAACTTGTTGTGATGGTGATTGAATAATAGTAATAAAGTGTTTTTTTTTTTTTTAACGTCAAGAAATATTTACAAAGGATTGCAAGTTTGTTGAAGTGTCAATAATTTTACGGACACAAAACTGACTATACAAAAATACAGATAGATGTCATACACGTCAGATGGTGTGATTCTCCCATGATGAGTTGAGAGAACTTTCTAATGATAGGCTTTATCGTCTAATGAGGATGATCACATGCATTTTTTGTGGTCGGTTATGTGATTCATTATTGTCTAAAAAATAGCTCATTAGATCTCTAATTTGTAAGTAATTATCATGTCTTTTCGAAATACCATATTATGTTGGTTGTGTGTTTGTCCAATAAGAATACACCGTGTGTACTGAGAAATATGGTATACCATTATTTGAATGCTCCAAGAAGATCATCACTTGAACTTGATTATTAGATGACAATTACAAGTTTTTTTATTTTATTTTATTTTTTTATGATCAATGACAAAACAAGTTTTTTTTTTTTTTTTTTTTTTGGAAAAAAGAAGAACCAAAACAACATCTCGCTCGAGCGACAAACTCCTCGCTCGAGCGAATAACCAAAATTCTGGACAACAACACTTGGTTTCTAAATCCAACCAACCTGAACAAACCTGCCCAACACATCCTATAATTCTAAATGAGAAAATAAGGAACAACAACAACAACAATTATACAATGACAGAATCTACGGAACAGTTCGGATACAATAATCAAATGGGAAAAGACCTGGGTCGCTATACTTGGCATCCTAAACTTCATAAAGATCTCATTAGGCCTGATACAATTTTGAGTATTTATAAAAGAAATTAGCATTTTGATCACAAAATTCAAATAAGTTGTAACTCTTTGTGTATGTCTTTATTGAGCAGCTTGTTGCTAGCAGTGTTGATGCAAGAACAGACCAAGGAGAATACTGGCAAGTAATCTTGAAAGATTAGCCCATGCCGGAAGCAATTGAAGGCCTTATCATCCACGGGGGCTCGGTGTCGTCACCTCTCTCTGACAAGAAAACTGACTGTCACACGACAACAGAATCAGCAGCAAACAACAATCAACTTGTCAATGATTCTGCAGAGAAGAAGGCTTTCGTGAAAGACTTTGAGCCAAGGCTAAGCCACGACGATGAAGTTGATCTGAAAGGCAAGTCATTTGTTAAAGATTTTGAGCCAAGGCCAGATCTTAGTACTTATGAACATTGAAGGACAATCACAAGCATGCATAGGAACGTGGAAGTGGATTATGGAGATATATCTATATATGTGGTTGAATCTAAATAATAAGAAGCAAATGTTGTATGTTTGCGTGGTGTACTAGTTTGTAGTTGTAGTTTGAAGTGAGTGATTATGTTTAATCACTCAAAATAAGAAAAACTTGTTGTGATGGTGATTGAATAATAGTAATAAAGTGTTTTTTTTTTTTTTAACGTCAAGAAATATTTACAAAGGATTGCAAGTTTGTTGAAGTGTCAATAATTTTACGGACACAAAACTGACTATACAAAAATACAGATAGATGTCATACACGTCAGATGGTGTGATTCTCCCATGATGAGTTGAGAGAACTTTCTAATGATAGGCTTTATCGTCTAATGAGGATGATCACATGCATTTTTTGTGGTCGGTTATGTGATTCATTATTGTCTAAAAAATAGCTCATTAGATCTCTAATTTGTAAGTAATTATCATGTCTTTTCGAAATACCATATTATGTTGGTTGTGTGTTTGTCCAATAAGAATACACCGTGTGTACTGAGAAATATGGTATACCATTATTTGAATGCTCCAAGAAGATCATCACTTGAACTTGATTATTAGATGACAATTACAAGTTTTTTTTTTTTTTTTTCATGATCAATAAAAAAACAATTTTTTTATTTTTATTTTTAGGTAGAAAATAGATTTTGTTATTCAAAACGTGGAAAATATTTTCTAGAGTCTTAACAATGCCACCAATACTATCAACACCATCATCACCACTCTACCACCACCATCAATAGCTCATCAGTTCCAAGATCTCAACTAATCACAAAAATCATTTTGTGGAAGATGTCTTCGAAAAATATTTCACATAGAAAGTGTTTTATGCTAAAACAAACAATGCATAAGTTCAAAATATCTCAAAATAGTTGGGATAAATTTCCACGTAAATCTGTACTATAACATTATAGATTTTAATTTCAAAAACCAAGTTCAAAGCAGAAGCATTTCCTAGGTTGAAGATGAATATTGCCAAATGGAGCAGACACTCTCTTTCAATGGCGAAGCCAAAAAAATAGTTTAGAGGGGATCTTATTAATTAAAATTTCAATTTTTTTTAATCTCATAATCAATAACAATAGATAATAATTTTTTTTAATTAATATTAAGCACAAAATCTTAAATATTTAATACAAAAGTTTTAAAATTTTTGTTTTTACAATTGACCTTGTGAAAAATCAGAATTAGAAATATGGTGTTACTTATAACTAATGTATTATAGGCAATGCGAAAGAGTATTTTATATCTTATGGTAGATTATATACTAATATATAAATAATAGTGATGCCACATCATTATCGATATATGGTATCACTAACCAATAGTAAAATAATGCATGGATGGTTAATCACACTTGTCAAATATAACTAACAATTCAATAATTTCACATTTTCATAGTAGGGTTAACTATGTTTACATGTAAGTGATGATTTAGTATCACTGTTACACTGGATTTTTTAATATAATTTTCATACATAATAATGTGATTTGTCGTAATTTCTTCATTTTCAATTAAAACAATCATCATTATTTTTGTAATTTGAAAAAGATTTTTATGAAATAATTCTAAATGTTATTTCTATATAAATTTTCCATTTATTAATTATTTTCCTTATATGCAAAAAAAAATTAAAAAAAATAAGGTGGGGGGAGGGGGGACATGTGCCCCTTAATTCCTTCATAGTTCCGTCACTGCATAAAATTCATGTTGACAATAATAATGCATTATTATTGATCAATTAGATGTGAGTGCTCTCTTTGTTAATGATTGACAACAAGAATGAGTTAGTGAGAATTGTCAATGCAAATATTTTTCAAAGGGGCAGCCCAGTGCATGAACCTCCCACCACTATAGGGCTTGAAAAGGGTCAGATATAAGCATTTCCTAGGTTGAAGATGAATATTGCCAAATGGAGCAGACACTCTCTTTCAATGGCGAAGTCGGAAAAATAGTTCAACGGGGCACTTATTAATTAAAATTTCAATTTTTTTTCTCTCTCTCATAATCAATAACAATAGATAATAATTTTTTTAATTAATGTTAAGCACAAAATCTTAAATATTTAATACAAAAGTTTTAAAATTTTTGTTTTTACAATTGACCTTGTGAAAAATTATAATTATTATTATTATTATTATTTTTGTTGTCATAAATAATCTACTAGTAACGGCATGTCAATTGCTTATGCTGTTAATGGTAATATTGATAATTTTCTTTTACGGCTTGTAATGCTAGCTGTAAATTATAAAACTTTCTATAACATAAATATAGCATGCTATTAGTATATCAAATATACGCGGCACATGTATATTAGCTATTAAACATATTTTACTTTACACGATACACAATTTTTGTCGTGAATAATATGATTGAAAAAAATAAGGCGCCAAAATAAAATGCTTTGGCACCCAACACCAAAAAAAATATCTATTAGGAAAAAAAAAACAAATATATCAAAATCAAAAGTGACATAGAAGGGGTTGGGAACAGAGAAGAGAAGGGTTCGAAGGAGCAAAACCGCAGGAGAAGGCAAGGGTCTGAATCGTCTCATCGCAGAGAAAGGTAGAGTCGAAGCGGGAAGCAAAAATGTGTGCTTCGTGATGATCGATGACCTAACTGCATGTGTTTATTTATATGGAATTTGTATTTGTT